CTCCAAAGAAGTTTATGGAATCACTCACGCTTACCACTAATAACGGGTAGATTTGGGTCTCTTTGTGTGTCCTTTCAGGGGAACAGTTTATTTTTCACATGAGGTTTGGTTAAGATTTCACCACAACAATCCTCCCGCGTCCCCAAAAAATCAGAATCTCATTGCTTAGTCAGAGCAGATGACATTGTTTCAGAATTATCCCAATCCAAACTCTTCACAGGTCCGACAGAATAGAAGCATTGGCCAAAGGAGAGTTCTTGATTGGTAAAAACACATTTTAATAGGAGGTTTTAATCTTCATTAGTCATATGATGCTTTCGTAACAGCACAAATGTTTCTGAATGTTAGTTTTCAAAGTTGCTCTAGTCTAAATGAGTTTTCTTTTCCCTAAAAAGAATTAAATGTATTCAACTGAGTAGTAGTCAGCAACCTTTCAGAAAATCTGGAATTCATAGGAGCTCTCCTATGGTTTCCCATAGTACATAAAATTGTCATTTCTCCCATTGCACTAGAAGACAAGAATGTTATTATTCTAGAAGCTGGAATTTTGGTTTTTAACCATGATCCAACACAAACGTTTGTGGTTTTTGGGAACCTAACCTGCTCTAAACTCAACATCCTGAAGCTGGAATTAATTGCTCATTAAAACACAAAGAGCTCCCTTTTCACTCCAAAGTAAGTATAGAACCTTTTGACACATTATGGAAAAATAATGCAGTTCTCAACCTTCCTTCTCTGTTTGGTTTTTAGGTTTGGACCTTTGCCAGATGCACAATAAACTGCTTGGCCTTTAACACAAAAGGGTATGATTCTTCTTTTTGTTACCTTAATTGGGAACTGACAAAACTCACTACATTACAAATTTGCTTCAATCAAAACCTGTTGACAGATAATATATTAAGGCCTAGTGCACAGATCTGAGTGGAGATCAGATAGCTGAAGAAAGGATTTTTTTCCTTTCATTTTTGTCAACGTACAAATCTAATTTGCAAATGAGGAATAAAAAATGGTAAGATCTGCTGTATATAAGGTATCGTATAGGATATTGTCAGGCTGCTGCAGTTACCTACAGATGAAGAACCACGCTCAATTTGTAATGAATTATACGCAGTCCCTGGAAGAACATGAACAAAATAAGGCTGCAGGAAGAATTTAATGTCACAGTGTAGACAGGACTGAGGTTTTAAATAACAGGATTGGTATGAAATCTGTGAAACAATCCAAGTAAATCCACAAATAGGTTTTTTATTCTGAGTTTTTTAAACTCTCTCTCTCTCTCCCCCACACACACTTCATTGCTTTGATTGAACATTCATTTCCCCCCTCTCACATTTTTGTTTTTGTTTTCTTGTTTCAGTGAAGCAATGGGAAGGACAGCACCCATAAAATGTGCCTGCTGTAACTCCCTCCAATTCCTAAAGTGACTGTCCTAAGTTCCTATGGCCCATCTCTATCAAAGTTTTCTTAGGATTTGATCAATAGCTCACTTTAAGTCAATGGGACTCTCTTATGGGCTTTGATCAGGCTCTTAAAGCAATATTTTCATGAAAACGTGCATTATTTAACTGGTGGGCTATTAAGACTTATACATACGTGCATGCACGCACTCACTGACAGGAGAGCCAGTACATTCCAATTGTACATCCACACTGTTTCCAGTGGATTTCAGTTCTTTCAATGAAAATAAAACAGCCTCCATTTTTTTCTTGGAAAATATTTATACTTTATAGTCAACATCTCTCTTTCCTTAACTGGGCCTAGAGAAGCAAAGATGTTTCACTTTAAGCCATCTACCCCTTGTGAATCTGGCTTATCATTTTCCCCCAGAATTATGAAGCTGGAGAGAGAGAGAGACACTAAAGAGTGCAAAACCAAACAACAACCCCAAAAAACAGAGTAACTGGAAATAATTTTGAAGTTTTATGCTAGATAGAACAAACCGTGCCATATAAATGTATCTCTTAGACATACTAAACTGAATTATTCAGCTGTTCCTTAGAAAAAGAAAAACCAGTCTGAGAAAGAGGGAGAGCAGAAAAAAGAGCGAGGGAGCGACAGAGCAAAAATATATACAACAACAAATGAGAAGAACAGAGGAGAATTGAAAAAAACCTGGAGGTTGGGGGAGGAATGAAGAGAGACTAGCAAGCTTATTTCAAATGAATTTTTGACCTTATTTTTAAAACATTTATGGATCCCAATTGCCTGTCATGAGATTATGTTCCCTTACAATGCTGGCTTTTCAGCTGGCTCTGCACTTTAACTTGATTTATCCCATTTTTTAAAAAGTAGATTGTTAGAAATACCCTTTCCACCAGAAATTCTGTCCCATTATAGTGTCAGCTAAAGGCCACTTGTCAATGTCAGCTTTATAAGATAGAAATGTGTGGCGTGAGCTCTCAGACTTATTTTTTGGAGAACAAGCCCTGACGTCCATCTCTGAACCTCCTGCTTGGCTGTGGATAGTGTCTTCTTAAATTATCTTATGTTATTTTTCAATTTATCTGAATGTTTCATTAGATGGTGTACAGTGATTACAGCAGCTGCTGTACATTAGCAAGACATCTTAAAGGAAAGCTAGCTTAGGTATCATGCTGACTGACAAAAGCACAGTATTAAACTTATCTAGTATTAAAAATACATCAGGAGGCCTCTCCTCTTCTCCAGCTGTGAGAAGAAAAGCCCATAAAACCCATAACAGCAGGATTTCCTCCTGCTCAGCTGCTTGCTACCTCTTTAGGGGAGAGATCTGACAAAGTGGAGACTAAAGTAAGTTTTTATTTATTTAAAGTGATGGAATTAGTCATCAGATTTCCTCAACCTCTGTTCACCAGTAAAGAGACAATCAGTTGTTGCTCAATCTGTGTTACCATAATGCTGCCAGGGGTCAGTGTTAAAACCAGCAGTGTAAGGGCCCTAAATCAGAGGGCTGCTCTTGAACTACCAACAAGTGTGAGGAGAAATGGCCACCATTTTTCCTGGACCAGAATATGGTGCAATACCAAACTGGGGATGGAGAGATTGTAGCAGGCAGGAGATTTCGCTCTCGTATCCTCCCAGTTGTTGGTACCTTTTAGAGAAGGTCAGGCACTCAAGGCCTTTGAAACTTTACAAGCGACTTCGACTGGTGGAACTATTTAGGTATTGCAACAAACTTCAGCCATGAAGGTAAAGTTAGAGTTTAGAGCAGACACTATATAGCAGGTCTTCCTCTCAACAAAAACAGTTAAAAATTCATGACTTAGAGAGAGGAACAGAAACTATCTTGATGCCTTTAATATTAATCAATCTAAGACCGAGAGCTTTAAAGCTCTCTCGGGTGCTTTGATTAAGGACATCTTGCCTCACAGGAAAAACGAAGCTTTGGAAAATCGGTAATCTTTGGGCATTACATTTAATAGAAAAGGCTTAAAAGGGATTACCTACAAGGGACCTTCGTGAATCTTTGGAAATTATATTGAACCATAAATCTGAACCTCTTCCGAGGGGTAATAAAGCCTTATCAGTTTCAGATAAGAAGTGGAAATCCTCAGTCTGCTTTAGGCGCATCATTGGCCAGGTCTGGAGTATCTGCCAAGACGCTGATTATTTCTTTAGCCTCTGTCTTGGATAGATAGATATATTTTATTTAGATTATAAATTTGTAAAAAGATTTTTTTAAAACCAAGAATGGAAATTTAACAGATTCCCAAATTTGGTTCACAACCTTCAAGCCCACAGAATAAAGTTAATTGCTCTAAGGGATCTTGCTGGGGATGATATTTCTGAAATTAACTTAGAAAAATGATGGCTCTGTATAATTTCACGCATGCGTAATACACAATTATGATTGCGATACAGCCATGTTTTGTTTTTTAGGAACACAAAGCACAGTAACTGAAGATTTCAATTTTTCATTCAAACTGATAGTCTGGCAAGTCTGGGGAATACTGGAGACATTGATGATGCTAGTACTTATAAAAATTCAGTTATACTTGGGTTTTAACAATTTTTAAATTGTTACGTTTGTTTTTTAAAATGAAGTTTGAGTTTAGTTTAAATTGCACCACGTAGTGCAGCATGCCAGAGATCTGCATGCCTGAACATTGATTGGCCTTATTTATTTGTAGAGACCGAGTGCAACCCTAAAATTCTTCTCCAGGCAGAACTCGGAGAGCTGCAGGACCCCATAACGGTCTCCTATGATATTAAGACATTCTTTATATTTAAGGCATCGGAGGAGTCAGGAGCACTGGAGTCTATTGCTGCTCTGTCCCACACTGGCACGGTATGCCCTTGGGACAGTCACAGCACTTTGTTTCCCAGCATCCCTAGCTGTAATATGGGGACAACGGAATTTTCCTACTACACAGTTGTGTTATAGACTGAATTCAATCCTATTGGTAAAGCACTTAGAGATCCGCTGAGTGAAGGCTCTATAAAAGGGCAAGATATTAATTTTTTCACTTAAAACATGAAACTAGGGGCGGCAGGGGAAGCGTTTGGCCCGGACTGTTAATGGCCCTGGCACGGGTGTGCAAGTGGAGGGTGTATGTAACCTTGCCCCCCCACACTTGTGTGTCCTCATTCCCATGCAGCAACCAGGCACAATTTGAGTCTGTGTTCTCCTAATCCCCTCGTCACCCCCAAAGAGAAACAGCAGGATGAGCAGAGGGACCATACTGCATCCTGCTAAGAGACCTAGTGTCACCTTGTGTGCCTGAATGTTTTGGGAGGAATCATGCTGGCTGGGACCACGTGCAGCGAGTTGCCCCGGGGATGGTGCAAATCTGGGCCGGTGCTTACGTCTAACCGTGGGTGGACATGACAGCATTGGAAATGACTCACTTTAGTAGAGTTTAAATTATATAAATGATTTGTTTGATGGGCTGGAAGTTACCCAAATATTCATGTTGAACTGATACAGAGACAAAGTATCTGGAAAACGAAAACAAAAACAAACCAGCCGGTGTCTTCTGCAAGCTTTTCCTTTGCTGGCTAGTATTTTGCTATGAACCTACCCAGTGCTGATCATAATCAGATGGCCATGTTCTCATCTCATCATCCTCGTAGAAAGGTAAACCGTCTCGCCTGGCTTGATGGTATTCCTTTCGTAACTTCTGGATACGGTCTGCATTCCCACCAGCTGGACAGCCACTGGAAAATAAAATTATAAATTACATATGTACAATCCCCACCCTCCGCATAATGCTGATACCAATGTGATAAACGTACCATGCAACTCTGACCCTCTGCACATTCATTCCTGTGAACAATGACAAATGGCTCCCATATTTAAACAAACAATAATAATAATAATAATAATGATAATCTGCCACAGAAATATTTACTTTTTACTCTAAATATGGAATTTCCCCTGAAATAGCATTTGCCTGAGGTAAGTAGCATTCAGACCTGGAGCAGTATAAGCTTTCTGGTCTGATATTTCATGAGCTATCAGGGCTAGGAACAAAAAAGTTCTATACCATAAAAAGACAGGAATCCCACTCTCAATTACAAAAAGAACTAAAAAGAAAAGGAGTACTTGTGGCACCTTAGAGACTAACCAATTTATTTGAGCATGAGCTTTCGTGAGCTACAGCTCACTTCATCAGATGTATACCGTGGAAACCTGTCATTATGCAAGGCACTGCATTTAGCCGTATGGAGTGGAAATCTATCAACTGCAGGCAGTTTCCACGGTATACATCTGATGAAGTGAGCTGTAGCTCACGAAAGCTCATGCTCAAATAAATTGGTTAGTCTCTAAGGTGCCACAAGTCCTCCTTTTCTTTTTGCGAATACAGACTAACACGGCTGTTCCTCTGAAAAAAGAACCAAGGTTCCAGCCTTGAGAAATGGGGGGTATGGGGAGACACGAGAGAGAGTCCAACTATAAAATGGTGATATTATTACATACAGAAGAGTAGCATCTGGTACTTTTAAATGTTTGTCAAATGTATTCGACCCTAATCCTGCAAAGACTTATACATGTGCTGAACTTTATGTACTGAGAGTAGTCGCAATCAAGTCAATGGAGCGCCTGACAACGCGTGAGTTCAGCACATGCACAAGTATTTGTAGGATTAGGGCTGAATACATTTGACAAACATTTGAAATGATCCGCTACTACTTTCCCATATATAGTAATGTCACTATTTTATAGCTTGACTTCCCCCCCCTCTACTTCCCAGGGTTGGTACACGAGAAGCACTGTCTACATACCTAGTTTTAGAGCACTAGCACAACCCCACTAGTCCGAGTCTCTGGAACTCTTCTAAAATGGTTTTTCTGTAACATTTTGTATATGGAAAATGCAGACTACATGGCAGAATAAAGGTTTATTGGCATTTATTTGAGACATGTGCCTAATGGCTCACACCCCAAACTCCAGCTCATAGGAACAAAACCTTAATATTGAGGCACATAATCATACATTCTCTTATCCTGCAACCTTAACTCTTCCATTTTGTGTGTATGCAAAACAATACAGATGCTAATCACATAAGCACATGAACCAGGCATAGGTGTGCCAGGGCACAGTGCAGGGAATCTTCACCCCGATATATGTTAAGGACTGTATTTGGCCCCTTCTCTTTAGCAAACCAAAGAGTCAACCCAAATTCACCTGCAGTTTGCAGCAGGCAAATATAAGCTAAAGATGCTTTAGAAAGAAAAGTTGCAGAGTAACAGCCGTGTTAGTCTGTATTCGCAAAAAGAAAAGGAGTATTTGTGGCACCTTAGAGACTAACCAATTTATCTGAGCATAAGGCTCATGCTCAAATAAACTGGTTAGTCTCTAAGGTGCCACAAGTACTCCTTTTTTAGAAAGAAAAGTTACTCATTTAATAAAGGCAGACCTCAGCAACGTGCCCTATTTTATCCATAACATATAAACAATAAGCACAGCTTTTGAGGGGAAAAAAATCCTGATTTTTCTATCAATACATTTTAAAAGATTCTTGCTTTTTAAGGCCCAAGTCGCCCCCTTTATATTGGGAGCGAACTTAGAGCTGTGCTAGTGTAACATAAAACAGTCTTACTGACTCTGGAGTAATGTGAGATGAATATGATGCCTTCTCCAGTGCTCATGCAACAGTTCCGAATTTCAACTTGGTTCCTGACAATTATGTGAATATATGAACCACATTCAAACTCACCAGATGAATTCAATCAGTGCTGTGCAAATATCGCATACATAATCTATTAGTTTACCCCAAAGAAACTGAAGCATTGAATTCAGACAGAATGAAGTCATCAGTAATAAAAAAAGGAAACTGATAAGGCAATATTAAAAAAAATCCACAATTTTCCGACATTTGCGGGGAAGATCATATGTTGCCTGTAAACTATTCTCCCATCTGCCTATAAATACATAATTAAAAAATATGGGTTTGATCAGATAGCAGTTCTCAAGTAGGAGAACAGTGGAAGAATACCAATTCAAATGCTTAGGATGCATGTCTGCTTATGCTGAGAAGAAGCCTGACCTTACAGAAAAAATATAAAAACAATATCCCCATCAAAGTCAATTTATATTAAATAAACCCACTGGAACTGCTCATTTAGGCTTGTGAGTGAAGGAGACTGAACTATTGCAGGAGCCCAATCTACATTTTGATGGTCACCTCCTGAAAGAGCTAGAAATGACCACAGACTTTACCGCTTACACAGTTTAGTGCATAGTTAATTTCATTCACTTAGCTTCTCACCCAATAAGCTCTTCACACTTAGAGTTATACAACACACCTGATCACACACATTCACACAAAAAATTTAAGAAGGCTGTGGAGCTGTCACCTGTCAAGAAAAGATTTCAAGTGAACTGCCTACTCCATACAAAGCCAGAAGACTTTGTAGCAGATTTCAGAATGATTTTCATTAATTTAGTGCAACTGAATCAGAAGTGGCTGAGGTTGGCATGAATCACAGAATCACTGAAATGTAGGCCTAGAAGGAGTCCCCTACACTGAGACAGAACCAACTAAGCTTAGGCCACCCCTGACAGGTGTTTGTCCAGCCTGTTCTTAAATACCTCCATTGATGGGGTTTCCACAACCTCTCTTGGAAGCTTATTCCAGACTTAACTGGTCCCATAGTTTGAAAGTTTTTCCTAATATCTAACCTAGATCTCCCTTGCCACAGATTAAGCCCATTACTTCTTGTCCTACTTTCAGTGGAAATGGAGAACAATTGATCTCCGTCCTCTTTATAACAGTTCTTAAAATTTTGAAGACTCCTATTAGCTCCCCCCCATAGTCTTCTGTTCTTAAGACTAAACATTCCCAGTTTAAACCTTTCCTCGTAGGTCAGGTTTTCTAAATCTTTGAACATTTGTACTGGTCTCCTCTGGACTCTCTCCAATTTGCCCACATCTTTTGTAAAGTATGATGCCCAAAATTGAATGCCCACGGTACTCCAGATGAAGCCTTCCCAGTGTTGAGGAGAGCAGGACAATCACCTCCAGTGTCTTACACACACATCCCAGGATGATATTAGCCTTTTTCACAACTGCATCACATTGCTGCCTCTCATTCAATTTCTGATCCACTCTAACCCCCAGATCCTTGTCCGCAGTACTACCACCTAGCCCGTTATTCCCCATGTTGTAGTTGTGCATTTGACTTTCCTCTCCTAGTACTTGGGTAACTTGGACTTTTGTTCCCCTGGAAGAGGACTGTGACAGTCACACAGCTGGAGGGTTGTGCCACATGACCCCCTGGGAGAGTCAGTAAACCCTGGCTGAAGCTCTTAAGGGAGGGTGCTAGACAGAGAATCTGCACCTCAAGAGTGTGTCTAGGGCACTTAAGAGATGGACAGTGCATGGACTCTGTTCAGATTCCAGAGGCCTAAGACACCTGGGGATTTAGTGGCTGGATCCCCTCACAGACGTCTGAGCGGCCAAGAGGGGGCACTCCACTAGATTTGCGTCTCTGCACTTCTTTAAACACACTGCAAAATTACAAACAAATGTAGCATGTAAGGACTCCGCTGAATCATTTAAAGACATATCCATATATTTCTGAAAGGCAATGAACATTTTGTTTCCAGTGGGTTTCCTAAATGCATTAATATTGCAAAGCTTTTCTTTTCAGCCACTTACCTCAGGATGTAATTTTACCCAGTTGACTGGCAGCTTATAAGCAACTTGTGGTTACATTTAAATTTTTTTTTCAACAATTATGAAAAATGAATACTTGCTGAAGCTTTCATTCACAAATGAATAAAATACAAAACTAATCTCATGTTGATTCAAAAGAATGGGCTGAATCTTCCATTCACTACCTATTATAACACAAAACTAATTATATCATAGCTACTGAAAAGAATTTACTGCCTTGAGCATACATATAGAATACAAAGAAACACAATACACCACACTGTAGATTAGTACTGTTCATCTATGGTACCTCTCATTTAAGAAGTCAAGACGAAAACATTTCAAAGGATACAATATGGTGCCAGCATTTATTTCCCTACGCTGAAATGTTAAGTTGTTTATCAAGGTGTTTTAGCAACCTCAATAAGAGGAGGGAAGAGAAAAAATGGTTGAAAAATGACAAAAAGAAAATCCATAGTCAGAACATAATTCTACAATATTTCAATGTCCATCTTTGTCAGCCAAGAGAAAGAGAGTTTAGGAAGCAACAAGCTTTTGTTATCAACATCTGCACTTGAGTAAATGAATGATATTCCAATAAAAAGCTTGTCAGAAAAATTCTCATTGACAATTCCAGAACCTGCAAGATAATAGAATATCTTCAAAGTTCATAGGGAGACAACTCAAGTTTTAGGAATATACGTCAGGCACTGACAACCAAATCTGGGAAATATAAATCTTTATGGAAATTCCATGAGCTTGATGGACTCGGCAGCACTTACTTTTCTGGTCTGAGCAGGAAGGTACCTTGTGTGTATGTACTTACAGACTTCACCAGTGGAAAAGCGGCCACGCAGGATGCTTCATTTGGCAACTGTGAAATGCTTGTCAGATCCTGGGAACAAAGTCTGTGATTCTGCCTAACCATTTGAATGGGGATATGTTAAGAGGTCTGTGTATAGACAGGTTGATAGACAAATAGCAGATAGATACAGGGAAGTACATATATCTCTCTATACCTAGAAACGTCCACAAATACATCTCAAGCTGCATGCAT